GGGGGGGGGGGGGGGGGGGGGGGCTATCCGGCGCCGGCTGTAGCGGGGTGAAAGCCGTCCAACGGATGGCTCCACTGCTGACAAGGGGGCGTGTTGCACCTGTGTTAAGACAGGTGCTAATCGCTATGCAAACTTGAAGGACGATGCGGCTCAGGCTCTGCCTATGAAGTGTGGTGTCTCAATGGACATTCCTGTCTCCCGAAGGGTCAACTGTGACATGTGAGTTCTTCCATTTGATTTTCTTTAGCTTCGGCCTCATCGTGCATGAGGTCTTCGTTACAATTCCATTAGTTCTGTAACCCTATAAATAGAGTTTCAAAAATCTCATTTTACAGTTTAAAATCTGCTAATTCTGTGTCATACTTGTGTTTTTCTTGACAGCATCAACTAAGATGAACCGGGGCAAGAGCCAAGAAGACATGATCATGTCACGCAAGGATGAAATAATTGAATAATAGTACTAATTTGTTAGTTATTGAATAATAGTTTGAATTATCCTACTTGTAATACAATATAAGAATTCATCGAGCCTTCATAATTCTGCAAGCTTTAGTGATGAAAACAAATTTATCTTGAATCAAATTTCCAATCTCAAGAACGAAAAATATATGATCAAGGACTTCTGATACACTAAACCGGCTCAAGAGGTGGTTTATCATCTAGTGGCAAGAATAGGGAAATGTACGATCTGTTTAAAGGTTCAAGTAACTCAACATGGAAAACTGATGAGAACCAATCCCTAGCTATTAGAGAGTGGCAACACGGCGTCTCACATGCAGACCAAGTTCATTTTTCTGATACAATTTTCATAAATGGGTTGGGACAAAATTTAAACCCAGAAGCCTCAAACTGACCATCAATCTACAATGTACAATAAAGATTCCCAAATCAGAACACACTAATAAGAGTGAACCATCACAGAATAACATGAACCGGCACTCCAAGTTCTTGATCAACTCTAACCCAGTATTAAAACTTAGGCCTCTTGAATCCTCTGGTATTGATGATTCCAGTCAACTACCGTACTTGAATTAATAATGTATTCAAATGTTTGTAGAGGTGAAAACTGGAAACTTTTCCAAGTATAAAGAAATTCGAGCATCCACAAGTCTCATACAAACGGCTACAGATGAAGAAAGACAGTATGTCAAGTCTAAGAGATTGAAGGTAAAAGTCCTGTTCAAACCATGAGAAAAATTTCGAAAACAAAGTCCAAAATAAGGAGCTGAAGTCTTAGATCCTAATCCAGAAGTGCATAACAAATGCAGATAATTTTCGGACTTGAGAATATAGTTGCAGAACTATCAAATCATGGCAGAACTTGTGCATCCAGTTTTAGGCATCCAAAATGGATACCATATGTTCAGAATGGAAGATCAATTCAAATATATGAAGTATGGACTATTTGTAACTTGGATCAGAAGTGCCAAACTCAAATGAAAGCACCTCCTTTAAATGAATGGATGAATAAATAAGGCCATAAATTTGTTTCCTTGACAAAATATTTCCGATGTCAAAGTAAACTGTTACCCAAGTGTGAAACAACTTGACATCGATTTCTTTGTCTGTAAGTAGAATCACCAGCAGCTTTTCCAAACTACTTGTTCAATAGCGTAAAATATGATTCTTACCTGTTCTATTTCTTACAGCCAACAGAATTTTCTAAGCAGTTCGTGTGAAAAATTGTTAATATCAGTTAGCAAATTGTTTTTGGTCTCTGTCAGTCTGCAGTGGCTATAATTTTGGTTTTCTATAAATAGAGGCTTCTTGTTGAAAAATATCAGTTTCTATGTGTTAAAAGTGCTGAATAATAAACAAAGCAAGGAATTCCTTGAGGTTTTTCAATATATATCATATTCGTTAACTTTCTGTTTTCTTCGATTATCCGGTTTTTAATTCCTGCTAGAATTTAAGGTTGTAGGAAATTTTTCTTGTGCATGTAGGGATTTTCTAAATCCATCATTTTCACATTTATTCGTATGCCTGTGTTAGGAAAGAAATGACATTTAGCTTTTGGTCTTCACTTATATTCAAATCGTGCAAATTCTTAATACCATACTTGTTTTGATGCATAAGAAATTCTCGCAACAAATCGTAATACTAATTGTGGTTTCATGTTTTTCATGTAATGGGTTTTCAACTGTCATCACAGAACTAGTTTTTCTCCCTGCAAGTCAAAGGTATGGATAGTAGAGTACAATACAAGCTAAGGCTGTCATTTTTACATGACCATGTTGAAAGGAGAAGGGAGCCAGAGTCTTCAAAAGCAGTTGTATTTTGTTGCAATGTCATGGGCCAGAATAATTGGAAAGCTGCCTGACCAATTCTAATGTTCTCTTAATCTACTTCTCTTCAACCTATGGGATGTCGTCTCCCGCACATTTTTCAAGACGTACAACAAAGCAACGTGTCAGTTACACAAGAAGGATAGATACACTGTGGCTCTTACGATACTATGGCTTGTTTGGTAAGATGGGTATACTAAACAAGAAGAAAAATAAGCTAAAATCTTGTCTACTTTGTGTGTGCAACAACCATACCCTATAATTCTCTGCTTTTCTGGCACTGGCAGCCTGTGCCTCCATGCCCGTATATTTATTTCACCATATAAAGGAATGTGCTAATTAGATAATCAACTATCATTTGCCGTAGTATAGATGGAGGTTGGAGGGGGGATATATGAGGGGGTTCCTGGGCCTGTGGCTTTACAGCGTGATATTGCTCCTCCAATTGACCAAGCGGCAAAGAAAAGGAACAAAATAATGCACCAATTCATATCATCCCAGTTCATGACATTTGAAAGCGCAATCCTTACGAAGTGGACGTGTCTCATTTTACCTCTTTCGCCAGCTTCGGTCTTCCTCATAATCCATCACTCCACCATGTTCAGAAAAGATCTCTTTGTACCCTCAGAGCTCCAAGTCGGCCTGCTTACAGTTCATAACTTCTACCACAATGTAAGTAAGATGCATCAACCAACATATCCAGAGCTCGAATATATACTTATTGAAGTAAATGAAAATCATATGCGATCCATAATGATCAACTTACTGAAATTTCTATAACCTGATTGAGAAGTACCAGGTTACAAATTCTGAACATAAGTCCAACCTTTACAACACACTCTCTACCACCTCTCATTCCACGATAAAGAGTTTGGCTATGAACAAGGAACTTATCCAATAAGTAGCCTTTATGTAAGTTGCTTTCATTATTTAACAGCATTTGATAAAATGTAAGATCTGATAACTTGGAGTGCATACTTTGAACACAAGAATGACACTTCACCTAGAGTAACAATCATTAGAGAAAAGTATGTTTCAACTGACCTTGAAGGATAGTGTCTTTTTCACATCTTCCACCGTTTCTTCTACTTCTTTTCGGTGCGTCTTGTCCACTTCACTTATAGTATCTGCCCATTTGAGCTTCTCTTGAATTGAGACAAGAAGATTGTCTGATGTGGAAAGCCTACGATATTATCAAAAAAAAAAATCAATACAGGATGTCATATTTTCAATAATTGGCATACACCCAAAAACAAAAGAATAAACCATAGAGAAATGGAAAACCATAACAGAAACTCTGCCATGTAACGATTTTGAGACAAAAAGTAATTAAAATACAAAAGAAATGCAGCTTCTAACTCACAAATTTATTTAAAAACCTCAAATCCATATAGCACTAATATTTTTTCATAAATATTCAAGGTTTTGATTATTCAAAACACAATATAGCCCCAGCCCAGCGGAGAGAAAAGTTTCAATACACTATAAAATATACAACATAATATGCATAACCTTTTGACTTCACAGTTGATTATTTCTTTCTTTTTGTTTTAGACTTTTAGTTCTAGATGGGAATAATGGTCTTATTACGTAATCAATATATGTTAATTTATTGTCTACTCTTTGTAGATCTCTGTTAAGTTTGAAGTTGCAAATTAGACCTAAATTCTGTTGGAATGAAATAACTATGAATTTTTTGGATAGTTTATTTGTAAGTATAATTTTGTGTTTCTGTAAAATCTCAAATCCAAAAAACAATTGGCTCAGAAAATTAAGAGGCCGTAAAAAATCACCTCATCATGTTGCCATATAAATTTATTGTTTATAAATTCCAATCGAGGTCAATACTTTTTAGATTATAAGGATTAGTATCAATCCAATTGAACAAGAACGTCCTAGGGCAACATTCTGTCTTCAAATTATCCCTCCATTGTTAACATCTTTCCTCGTGAATCCGTATATTAAAAATCACAAGTATGGAAACAAATTATTCTAAGTAGCCAATAAGTTCACCCACAAAATTCTGAAAACACTTGTCAGAAAACCGAACAGCAGAATTATACACATTGAAATTGGATGTACAGGAATATAATATACCTCAAGGACATTGGGAACTGATAGAATCTCGGAAAAGGTAAAGAGTGAGGGGTGAGAAGTGGCCTCAGCAACGACGTCTGCAAGGGCCGAGCCATTTAAATTCGACGCCTTCTTCAAAAAATAGTTTACGCACTCCGCTTGAGTTTGCTCAATGTCCATTGATCAATTTCAATTTTAACCAAAAAATGTGTAGAAGTTTTAGTGTTTATATGTATATTAAGGGATTAGCGAGCATTAAAAATGTAGGGTTTCAAAATGGTTGCTTTCAGGGTTAAATTTCGAGGATTCCTTTGCCTGATTTTGAATCCTTTCAGAAGGTCGTGCACCAAAAGTTTTCCTACGGTTTCGTGATTCGTCCACATGTTTGGCGGTAAGAGCGACTTTTTCCTTTAAAGCAAAAAAAAAGTAGTTTATCACTTAACAGTTAGTTAAGTTAGTTTGATTGATTTTATTTTTTTTTTAATGAAAAAATTCATTTCACTCAGTTTCTTTTGGATGTTTTCACGAAAAATATATTCTAATTTTTGATCGATATTTTCCTTAAAAATAAGGAAAATGTTTTTTTTTTTTTGTGGGAACGAGTGTTTTTTTATTTTTCAGATAATTTAATCTCTCTTTTCTCTCTCGTCTCTTCCCTCTCTCATCTACACACCAATAAAAATGGATAGGTAAAATATTTTTTCGAATTGAGAATTAAATTAATCAAACACATTTAATTAATAATTTCTATACAAATAAGTTCTAAACAATTGAAGATCAATGACACGAAATTCATAAGCCTTTCAAATGGCATGTCACATAAATAATAGTCAATAGAATGCATTGACATAACTTCTAAATCTAGACGAAGTTTTAGACAACGTCTGATTTTTCTTTTGTCACGTCAACTTCACAAAATCCTTGTTAATTTGTACTGGAGAAGGAATTTTTTTCATGTTTTGTGTGGCAAATTAGCAATAGGATTAGGGTTGTTTCAAGTTATTTTCATAACGAGGCTGTGCACCATTAGGTATTTATGCTTGTATGCTGCAACATGGACAAAAATTTTCTTGATCAAATATTGCAGGTATTCTTACACAATGACGCAAAAGTATCATTTTCTTGGACCAAGAAAAGAAAAAGACAAAGGAGATACTAAAAACACTCTAGGGCTTGTTTGAGCCCTATTTTTGTCAAAAAAAAAATGTATTTTTGAATAGTGTATAGATGGAAAATGTGTGATTAAAAAATTAAAAAAAAAATTGGATTTGCGTGTAATATTATTTTATTGAAGAATAGTGATTGAAATGGGTTCGGAACACTGTTCAAAAATGCATTTTTTTCAAAGAATGGGGTTCAAACAAGGACTTATTCGAAAGCAGTTGGAAAGTTTAGGCTTGACCCAAGGAACGGGTCTTGATGTGCAAGGGTGTTATCACCTGATTACTGCCAGATAAATTGTTAGTTTGGAAGTAGATGGTAATAAATATAGTCGTTTAGTTTATGTTAATTACGATGTTATATATGAATGAAGGCTTCTGTGGGAGGGGGACGTATGCCGCGGGTGAGGCTGCTGGGGTAGGTTTTACAGAAATTTAGTTTCAAGTGCTGGCTTGGGATCAATCTAATGTCTTAATTTTGATTGCACGGTTGGAGTTGTTTGATGTGTTTGTGGAGTGCCATACGATTCAAGCAAGTTTAATGGGTTTTTTCTACCATGACCGGAAGGCACAAGAATTTAAGGAATAGAGATGATATATATGGGACAGATTCAGGATTGATTTCAAGGCCGGACTAAAAAAAATTT